ATATATATATATATATATATATATATATATATATATACATATATATATATATATATATATATATATATATATATATATATATATATATATATATATGTGTGTGTGTGTGTGTGTGTGTATATATATACAATATAAATAAATATATATATACATATATATATATATATATATATATATATATATATATATACATATATACATATATATATATATATATATATATATATATATATATATATATATATATATATATATATATATACATATAAATACACGCTTTTTTGTAGCATCCCAAAAACACTAACACTGATACATTGTCTCAAACACGATATCATTGAAGTTTGTACTGACATACAAAGTATTGAAAAAGGAGTTATTTTTATTCATTTTACATAAAGCCAATAGAAAAACATGAACGTACATAATGTGCTAATTACAAGCAAGACATTTTGGAAACTTCAAATAAAATGTTAAAAGTACGTAACTATACAACTTATTTTTGTGGCTGTTATATATGGGTACACTTTACGGTGTTTGTTTCTGGGTTCTTATACATAAATACATATATCTATACATACATACATTTTTATAGAATACAAGAATATTGTTATCAATTTAAATTTACTGATACAATTAAAATAATCGAAAGGATTATAAATGCTTTCGCGATTTTATGTAAATTCCTGGTATGAACATCATATATGTATGCTTTGTATGATATATGAATAGCTTACTTTTGTACAGTCAATTATTATTAGTCATAAAGGTTATGTTTTTAATATCAGATTATATCTTTATATAAACGATTAGTAATGTCTTTTTTTTTCTAATAAATCACATTTTATCTGAGAACCACATAAATCTACCAACATGCTGATGTACAGTATGGCATAAAGTACTTTTATGGTTTATAATTTAGTATGCCATGTTAACCTCATTATTGACAATTAAATAAACTATGTTGGGAACGTGTGGTACATTTCGATGAAATTTATAAACACGAGAAGACGAATGAATCTGCACCACCTATCTTACCACTGTATCTTTTCCTCTGTTTTTCAAGTTACTGCCATTCTAGTATTTGCATTAACCATCATGAAGGTATAATCATTAAAAAAATTAAATACATTTGAGTAATTGAACAAGTAATAACAGTAAATACATTTAAACAAAATATAATATCACATTTATCCTACATTACCAATTGGATGAATTTGCCCTTCCCTACTGACGACGACTTGCATGCTCCAGTAATGTAGAAAAAAAAATAAATGCATGACTGTGATTATGCTTATTGAAAAGTAAAATAAAGATGAAATTAAAAATCTTTTGCAAAGCTCAAATCGCAGTGAATAAAGATTTTTTCACAGTTACATATTGTAAATCTTATAAAACTACCCAGTCGGCCAACCAGAACCATCCCTAATTTTAATATTTGTCTATATAAAGACAAATATATATACATATGTCCATACATAAATATGAATCTATTCATTTGTTTACACACACACACGCACACACGTATATATGTGTTTGTGTATATGTATGTTTATGAGTGTGTGTGCATATTTATGTGTGTGTAATTAATAAAACAATAGTACACTGGCATTACCACTGGCATGTAGTAACCAAATTTTTTTTTTCCTTATCTTCAACAGTAAGATTGTAGGATCTTTTTTCCGTGTTTTGAGTCCTCTTACATTTCAAGTGTGAGGTTCATGGCCTTACATTGATGATGGTAATCAGAGATGACTTTAGTAATGATATTCAGAGATCTCCCTGTTACAGTGAGGGTGATTATCATGCTATTCATTAAAAACAATTCCATTTCATAAAGGAAAAGGGGAAATCAAAACGGACAAACTACTGTTATAAAATGATATATGTGGCACTACAGTCTAAGTGCGATTAAAAGTTATGCATTTTTTCCGATGTGGATTATTAAGTGTTCTTAACTCTTCCAAAGTATAATTTCCGTTAATTATCTAAATATCTTACTTAATTATTTTCAGCGTTAAACAGGACTGATAACATCATCATAATTATTTTCTTCTTAGTAATTTTTGTAAACACTATTTCTAATATGATTATCACCAACACCGTCATTATCACTTACTTTACTTATCCCCTATCTTTCTAAATCCGACGACGTTGACTTTTACTCTGTTTTGTATTGACTGAAGTACTCCCTCTTGGACTCACTGCTTACTTAAATCATACACAGACGGCACTTTATTATCATTATTGTTATTATTATTATATATTTAAAAAATAATAATTTTCCGGCTTTGGAACTGTAGATGGAATGGTACAGAACCAAAACTGCTGCTAAATATATTGTTGAAACTTTATCGTGTTTTCTTAGACTGATATGATATATATATATATATATATATATATATATATATATATATATATATATATATATATATGTATGTATATATATATATATATATATATATATATATATATATAATATATATATATAATACATATATATAATATATATATATATATATATATATATATATATATATAATATAATATAATATAATATAATATATATGTATATAATATATATATATATATATATATATATATATATATATATATATATATATATATATATATGTGTGTGTGTGTGTGTGTGTGTGTGTGTGTGTGTGTGTGTATGTGTGTAATAAGTAATGATGTCGCTCATTCATTTCAACAATGACATAACTCAAAAAAGGATACTTTTTAGGAGAAGCAAAATAAACTTTTAATATGTAATACAGTCTTCCATGTAAGTTTTAAAAGAGGTATTTAGCAATGAAGTTTTATTTCAGGATTCAATGTAGTGCATGACATCAAATATAATAAAATACACTTATTATAAACATACTTTGTGGCTATTTGAAAAAATAAAATTTGAGTTATGACAATATTGCAAAAAAATATATGGAATTTCCACTGTTGTAACTAAAGTTAGGACTACATTACAACAAAACGAGTAAGAAACAAAGGAAATAAACAATTGTTATTACAGAAGTAACAGATCACATATTCATGATCTGTGTGCACAAAATAAAATAAATAACAGACCTGTTGTATCCCTGTATTTCAGGCATTCCTTTTTAAATAAATATAATCTTTTGAGCAAAATAAAATAAAGGACAAAGTTGTTGCACCCCTGTATTTAAGGCGCTACTTTTTTTACTTAACAATTATAAACTGTTTTGAAGAAAACAAAGAACATAACAAAGCTGTTGTACCCCTGTATCTAAGACATTCTTTTATGACAAACTATAAACTGTGTGAATGAAATAAAGTAAATAAGAAAGTGGTTGTACCCCTGTATTTGAGGCATTCCATTTGTACTAAATGAACAAAATGAAAAGATAGATTCATGTTCTCTTCAGGATTATCTGAAAATTACAGATTCTCATAAAACTTCTTATAAGGATTAGGAATGAGGCTTCTTTTGCACAAATCAAGAAGATCTTCTTTCTTCTTGGAAGTAATACCTGGTTTGTGACCAAAGCATGGTGGAATTGTGAAGGTTCCTTTTGATATTCTTTTCTTGAGAACAGTTGCTTCCTTGAAATTTTCATTATAAGAATGTTTGTAGAATACTGAATTTGGAGATGTTTTAGTAACTTTCAATACTTTCACTTCAGAAATTTTCAGCTCTTTCATGTTCATCATAGGACCAATTTCGTTAGCCAAAACTTTGATGTTCTTGAAGAATTCATGATCACATTCTTTCACCCTAAAAGGCTCTCCTTTCTTTTTTGCCATTCGAATAGCAGTTAGAAATGTTTCTGGAACATAGATTGGTCCACTCTTAAGGAGTCCCTTGACTTGCCTTTCAATCAATGAGTGAGCTGAATCGCCCTCATTCTGGGAATGTCCTTTAATTAAGAACTTGTGAGTAATGGAATCAAGGTCCAGAATATTTACAGCATATAAGTAGAGAGCTAACATAAACCAGTTTTTCTGCTGACCACCGCAATTGTCTGAATAAAAGATAATATCCTTCTTACCAGTTTCAGAAACTTTATGGATATAGTCAAGAACACAAGAGCCAAGTTCATTGACTCCACGATGCCCGTTGGATTCATCCCAGACATAACACTCACAATTGTTAGATTTCAAGTCATAAATTGTAAAATTCAAAACATTTAACTTGGATTTGTAGTAAAACAGGGATACATCTCCTTTGGGCAATTGGAATACAGCCTGCAAATCATAAACTGCTACAGCAGCATTTGATGATACTTTATCACTAGCTTTCGCAGATCTTGACAATTCTTTTTCAACTTGGTGCTGATCATACTTCTGTTGCAGATTATCTCTTTCAGTTTTACTTGCATTTTCAAAGGTTGCGCAGGTGTCACATTGATCTTTTTTCGGGGTGAAAAAAGAAATATTGTAATCTTCAGTGAACACCTTGTAGAACATAGAGTAGTTCCCAAACGGTGCATTATTCTCTTTGCAGTTTGAAACATAATCTCTATGGATATCAGCAACAGTCTTGCTTCCGTCAATGAAAACTCTTGATGTATTAGCCCTGAGGTAATGACTCTCAATTTTTGGAATGGAATCAATATGAGCCCTCATTCCGTCCTTGATGCTTTCATCAACAGTGTGGTGATTACTGTGTTTACCTCTGAGATCATTTTCAATCAAGTTTTCACAAACTTTGTTCTTCTTTTCCAGGACTGTGCGGATAGGGCGGTCATTAATATCTAATGTGTTTATGAAAAACAATTTGCACACCCTAACTCTTCCTTCATTCAGTTTGAAATAAAAAGCATTGTTTGGTTTTCTTTGTTGTCTTGTACCTCCTATACGAACATATCTGTACCTAGGTACAATTTCATCAATTGAATTGGCAATAAACTGCCTTTGTCTGTCAATATCACCTAGTTCCCAGTACGATGCAAATATGGACATTCTTTGTTCCTCAGTAAATTTCATTGAGCACTTCAACCTGCATTTTTCCTTGCAAGGAGGCTTTACTTTTCTTCTTCCCTTTCTTTTCTGTCTTTGGTGTACATTACATACCGTTTTCCTTCATTTCTTAGTTTTTTCTGGAGATGTCGCCCCCACTTTTCTGGTTGTTTCTTCCTTTTCGAACCTTTTTTAGCTGGGCTCTCTAATTCTTTGGTGTCCTTATTTCCAAGTGTAGCAGTATCAACATTTGGAGTCAGGGAAGAGTCATCGTCATTACTACCAACTCCTTCTGAATCTTCATCATAATTTGGTTCGTAGGTCTTATCTGCAACAGAATCATCAGAGTCTAGCACATCTTCTGGTGTTGCTGCATGAGTTGATGATGCACTGCTCTTTGACGAGGATGATGAGGTGCTGCTGCTTGATGAAGAGCTATTACTTGATGAAGAAATATTGCTTGATGTAGAATTACGCCTTTCACCCAAATGTGTGCACTGCATTGTCGACATCCCTAGGCCTACACTCTTGGTGTTCTGGGAAGAACTTGGTGGTGTCTCGTTTTGGTTTACTAGGACTTCGACATTCTTTCCTGGAACAATATAAGATACATTATTATGCAACATGCATGAATTCATAAAATATTTTGGGGGAGACTTATTTTAAAAAATACCAATGGTATTCGCTACAGTAATGATGTCCATTAGGCTATAATGATTATACAGTAGGCCTACTTGCATTACGTAGGAGATAATTTGAAGGTAAATATTTTTATCATCGTTGATTTAATTATATGAAATATTAGACAAATCTTAATCCTTCACCAGCTTACCTGACTCAGAGAAAGTTTCAGTCACTTCAGGCTCCTTGGATGGTGCTTGTTTTGTGTTTTCTACCGATTCCAATGCTAATTGTAAGAGTTGTTTTCCTCGACTGGTCATATTTACCTGTAATAACATCAAATTTATTGATTTATAAGGTTAATACTTAAACATCATGCTTAGAGTAAATGTCTTAAATGTAGCTTTAAACATATCCTAGTAACATACTTTGTTGCAAGAATGACATAATAAAAGATGTATCATGACTGAAATTGCAATTCTGAACAGTTTTGTTTCAATAATGCCATAATTTTACTTAGATCTAATTCCATACAGTCAAGTGACTGCTTGTTTGGTTGTAAGAATGACACAAAACAAAATATTTTGATTGCGCATACACCATTTAGTTTCAACAATGTCATATTGTGACATATATAGGCAAGAAATTTAATACATATCATTTCAATATCGCATTAAGTCTAAATAATTCATTGTTCAACAAAACGTTAAGATAACAAACAATTACTAACCTTGTCAGAACACTGTCATAACAAGAAATATGTCACTGTAGCAGGAGCTAAAACGATGCTTCCTCTGCAAGAGTCAAGACGTAACTGAAATAAAACGCTATGCCAACTAAACGATTCGTCTGAAAGAAAATGAGTCACTATGCCTTGAGCGACATATAATGGACAATTTTGATACTAGAGTTATGGCGTTCTTACCACAAATAAATATAGAAAATGACAAATTCAGTGATATAACTAACTCAAAATCTTCAATTTTTGAGTTATGTCACTGTTGAAATAAATGAGCGATATGTTTGCGTGTGATCCGGACAACTTTTTTATAAGTGTTTCATCATTCATATTTCTTCTCTTCATTATATCATAGTTCTCCTCATATATTTTATCGGCATTTACACAATATGTGGACTCTGAGATGGGATAGTAATTTTGGTTATAGGGAGTGAGAAAACTCATCTTTAATTAGGGGCCCTAAGTTACAGGAGGGAGGAGAAAGCTCATGCTAAATAGGGCCACTAAGATATAAGGACGAAAAAAAAAAACTATTTTGATTAGAAGTTTAATTAGGGGCACCAGTACGCAGAGGGAGAGACAGAACTCATGTTTAATTAGGGGCACCAAGTTTTGTAGTGGCTCTGGGCTTATCAAGTTTTGTATTGCGCAGATTAAATGGTCTAGGTTGTTTTGTTATTATTAATTGTCGACAGTGATGAAGGTGACCGTTTAACTGATGAATCTAATGCTGAATTTAATTTATATAGTATGAATAATAATTTGTATACGTTAGAAATGTTACTTAGCGAGCGTTATGATAATCTGTTTTCTGTTTGCGTGTGGAATGTTACTTGATTTTCGAAGGCCAAAACTTTTTTTCAAGTGTGTGTGTTTGTGTGAGAGAATGTTACCTAGAGTTGGGGAGTAAACAAAAGTTTGCGTGTGTGTGAAATGCTGCCGGAGGTTGGGGACTAAGCAAAAAAGAATAGTTATTAAGATTTCTCTCCTACTGATATCATGCTCGGTGATGGGAATGGTAATGGTGACGATGGTGATGGTAATGGTAATGAGGATGATGGTGGCGGCGGGTGGCGAGGCAGCAATGGTTCAAGCGTTTTCCCTTGAGAAAAAATATATATATTAGAAAGTTTTCCTAATTCTATATCATCCAGTCGTCTATTAATTTGCATCATCAAGAAATTAAGCTTTACCGAACAGTTAATTACATCTCCTTTGGGCAGTTGGAATACAGCCTGCAAATCATAAACTGCTACAGCAGCATTTGATGATACTTTATCACTAGCTTTCGCAGATCTTGACAATTCTTTTTCAACTTGGTGCTGATCATACTTCTGTTGCAGATTATCTCTTTCAGTTTTACTTGCATTTTCAAAGGTTGCGCAGGTGTCACATTGATCTTTTTTCGGGGTGAAAAAAGAAATATTGTAATCTTCAGTGAACACCTTGTAGAACATAGAGTAGTTCCCAAACGGTGCATTATTCTCTTTGCAGTTTGAAACATAATCTCTATGGATATCAGCAACAGTCTTGCTTCCGTCAATGAAAACTCTTGATGTATTAGCCCTGAGGTAATGACTCTCAATTTTTGGAATGGAATCAATATGAGCCCTCATTCCGTCCTTGATGCTTTCATCAACAGTGTGGTGATTACTGTGTTTACCTCTGAGATCATTTTCAATCAAGTTTTCACAAACTTTGTTCTTCTTTTCCAGGACTGTGCGGATAGGGCGGTCATTAATATCTAATGTGTTTATGAAAAACAATTTGCACACCCTAACTCTTCCTTCATTCAGTTTGAAATAAAAGCATTGTTTGGTTTTCTTGTTGTCTTGTACCTCCTATACGAACATATCTGTACCTAGGTACAATTTCATCAATTGAATTGGCAATAAACTGCCTTTGTCTGTCAATATCACCTAGTTCCCAGTACGATGCAAATATGGACATTCTTTGTTCCTCAGTAAATTTCATTGAGCACTTCAACCTGCATTTTTCCTTGCAAGGAGGCTTTACTTTTCTTTCTTCCCTTTCTTTTCTGTCTTTGGTGTGCATTACATACCGTTTTCCTTCATTTCTTAGTTTTTTCTGGAGATGTCGCCCCCACTTTTCTGGTTGTTTCTTCCTTTTCGAACCTTTTTTAGCTGGGCTCTCTAATTCTTTGGTGTCCTTATTTCCAAGTGTAGCAGTATCAACATTTGGAGTCAGGGAAGAGTCATCGTCATTACTACCAACTCCTTCTGAATCTTCATCATAATTTGGTTCGTAGGTCTTATCTGCAACAGAATCATCAGAGTCTAGCACATCTTCTGGTGTTGCTGCATGAGTTGATGATGCACTGCTCTTTGACGAGGATGATGAGGTGCTGCTGCTTGATGAAGAGCTATTACTTGATGAAGAAATATTGCTTGATGTAGAATTACGCCTTTCACCCAAATGTGTGCACTGCATTATCGACATCCCTAGGCCTACACTCTTGGCGTTCTGGGAAGAACTTGGTGGTGTCTCGTTTTGGTTTACTAGGACTTCGACATTCTTTCCTGGAACAATATAAGATACATTATTATGCAACATGCATGAATTCATAAAATATTTTGGGGGGAGACTTATTTTAAAAAATACCAATGGTATTCGCTACAGTAATGATGTCCATTAGGCTATAATGATTATACAGTAGGCCTACTTGCATTACGTAGGAGATAATTTGAAGGTAAATATTTTTATCATCGTTGATTTAATTATATGAAATATTAGACAAATCTTAATCCTTCACCAGCTTACCTGACTCAGAGAAAGTTTCAGTCACTTCAGGCTCCTTGGATGATGCTTGTTTTGTGTTTTCTACCGATTCCAATGCTAATTGTAAGAGTTGTTTTCCTCGACTGGTCATATTTACCTGTAATAACATCAAATTTATTGATTTATAAGGTTAATACTTAAACATCATGCTTAGAGTAAATGTCTTAAATGTAGCTTTAAACATATCCTAGTAACATACTTTGTTGCAAGAATGACATAATAAAAGATGTATCATGACTGAAATTGCAATTCTGAACAGTTTTGTTTCAATAATGCCATAATTTTACTTAGATCTAATTCCATACAGTCAAGTGACTGCTTGTTTGGTTGTAAGAATGACACAAAACAAAATATTTTGATTGCGCATACACCATTTAGTTTCAACAATGTCATATTGTGACATATATAGGCAAGAAATTTAATACATATCATTTCAATATCGCATTAAGTCTAAATAATTCATTGTTCAACAAAACGTTAAGATAACAAACAATTACTAACCTTGTCAGAACACTGTCATAACAAGAAATATGTCACTGTAGCAGGAGCTAAAACGATGCTTCCTCTGCAAGAGTCAAGACGTAACTGAAATAAAACGCTATGCCAACTAAACGATTCGTCTGAAAGAAAATGAGTCACTATGCCTTGAGCGACATATAATGGACAATTTTGATACTAGAGTTATGGCGTTCTTACCACAAATAAATATAGAAAATGACAATTCAGTGATATAACTAACTCAAAATCTTCAATTTTTTGAGTTATGTCACTGTTGAAATAAATGAGCGATATGTTGCGTGTGATCCGGACAACTTTTTTATAAGTGTTTCATCATTCATATTTCTTCTCTTCATTATATCATAGTTCTCCTCATATATTTTATCGGCATTTACACAATATGTGGACTCTGAGATGGGATAGTAATTTTGGTTATAGGGAGTGAGAAAACTCATCTTTAATTAGGGGCCCTAAGTTACAGGAGGGAGGAGAAAGCTCATGCTAAATAGGGCCACTAAGATATAAGGACGAAAAAAAAAACTATTTTGATTAGGAGAAGTTTAATTAGGGGCACCAGTACGCAGAGGGAGAGACAGAACTCATATTTAATTAGGGGCACCAAGTTTTGTAGTGGCTCTGGGCTTATCAAGTTTTGTATTGCGCAGATTAAATGGTCTAGGTTGTTTTGTTATTATTAATTGTCGACAGTGATGAAGGTGACCGTTTAACTGATGAATCTAATGCTGAATTTAATTTATATAGTATGAATAATAATTTGTATACGTTAGAAATGTTACTTAGCGAGCGTTATGATAATCTGTTTTCTGTTTGCGTGTGGAATGTTACTTGATTTTCGAAGGCCCAAACTTTTTTTCAAGTGTGTGTGTTTGTGTGAGAGAATGTTACCTAGAGTTGGGGAGTAAACAAAAGTTTGCGTGTGTGTGAAATGCTGCCGGAGGTTGGGGACTAAGCAAAAAAGAATAGTTATTAAGATTTCTCTCCTACTGATATCATGCTCGGTGATGGGAATGGTAATGGTGACGATGGTGATGGTAATGGTAATGAGGATGATGGTGGCGGCGGTGGCGATGGCAGCAATGGTTCAAGCGTTTTTCCCTTGAGAAAAATATATATATTAGAAAGTTTTCCTAATTCTATATCATCCAGTCGTCTATTAATTTGCATCATCAAGAAATTAAGCTTTACCGAACAGTTAATTACATCTCCTTTGGGCAGTTGGAATACAGCCTGCAAATCATAAACTGCTACAGCAGCATTTGATGATACTTTATCACTAGCTTTCGCAGATCTTGACAATTCTTTTTCAACTTGGTGCTGATCATACTTCTGTTGCAGATTATCTCTTTCAGTTTTACTTGCATTTTCAAGGTTGCGCAGGTGTCACATTGATCTTTTTTCGGGGTGAAAAAAGAAATATTGTAATCTTCAGTGAACACCTTGTAGAACATAGAGTAGTTCCCAAACGGTGCATTATTCTCTTTGCAGTTTGAAACATAATCTCTATGGATATCAGCAACAGTCTTGCTCCGTCAATGAAAACTCTTGATGTATTAGCCCTGAGGTAATGACTCTCAATTTTTGGAATGGAATCAATATGAGCCCTCATTCCGTCCTTGATGCTTTCATCAACAGTGTGGTGATTACTGTGTTTACCTCTGAGATCATTTTCAATCAAGTTTTCACAAACTTTGTTCTTCTTTTCCAGGACTGTGCGGATAGGGCGGTCATTAATATCTAATGTGTTTATGAAAAACAATTTGCACACCCTAACTCTTCCTTCATTCAGTTTGAAATAAAAAAGCATTGTTTGGTTTTCTTTGTTGTCTTGTACCTCCTATACGAACATATCTGTACCTAGGTACAATTTCATCAATTGAATTGGCAATAAACTGCCTTTGTCTGTCAATATCACCTAGTTCCAGTACGATGCAAATATGGACATTCTTTGTTCCTCAGTAAATTTTCATTGAGCACTTCAACCTGCATTTTTCCTTGCAAGGAGGCTTACTTTTCTTTCTTCCCTTTCTTTTCTGTCTTTGGTGTGCATTACATACCGTTTTCCTTCATTTCTTAGTTTTTTCTGGAGATGTCGCCCCCACTTTTCTGGTTGTTTCTTCCTTTTCGAACCTTTTTTAGCTGGGCTCTCTAATTTTTTGGTGTCCTTATTTCCAAGTGTAGCAGTATCAACATTTGGAGTCAGGGAAGAGTCATCGTTATTACTATCAACTCCTTCTGAATCTTCATCATAATTTGGTTCGTAGGTCTTATCTGCAACAGAATCATCAGAGTCTAGCACATCTTCTGGTGTTGCTGCATGAGTTGATGATGCACTGCTCTTTGACGAGGATGATGAGGTGCTGCTGCTTGATGAAGAGCTATTACTTGATGAAGAAATATTGCTTGATGTAGAATTACGCCTTTCACCCAAATGTGTGCACTGCATTGTCGACATCCCTAGGCCTACACTCTTGGTGTTCTGGGAAGAACTTGGTGGTGTCTCGTTTTGGTTTACTAGGACTTCGACATTCTTTCCTGGAATATAAGATACAGTATATGCAAACATGCATTGAATTGCATAAAATAGTTGGGGGGGAACTGAATTTTAAAAAATACAATGGTATTCGCACAGTAATGATGTCTTAGGTATGAATGATTACACAGTAGGCCTACTGGCAGACGAGGGATAATTGAAGGTAAATATTTTATTCATCGTTGATTTAATTATATGAAAATATTAGACAAATCGTATCCTTTCACCAGCTTACCTGATAGAGAAAGTTTCAGTCACTTCAGGCTCCTTGGAGATGCGTGGTTTGTGTTTTCTACCGATTCCATGGCCTAATTGTAAGAGGTGTTTTCCTCGACTGGTCTCTTTACCTGTAATAACATCAAATTATTGATTATAGTTGAATACGTTAAACATCAGCTTAGAGTAAATGTCGTAAAGGTAGCTTAAAAATATCCTAGTAACATACTGGTGCAAGAATGACTACTAAAGATGATCATGGACTGAAATTGCAATTCTGAACGATTTGTTTCAATAATGCCATAATTTTACTTAGATCTAATTCCATACAGTCAAGTGACTGCTGTTGGTTGTAAGAATGAAACAAAACAAAATATTTTGAGTGCGCATACACCATTTGTTTCAACTGTCATCATTGTGAATATATAGGCAAGAAAATTTAATAATATCATTTCAATATCGCATTAAGTCTACATAATCATTGTTCAAAACAAAACGTTAATGATAACAAACATTAATAAACTTGTCAGAAACACTGTCATAACAAGAAATAGGTCACTGTCGCAGGAGCTAAACGATGCTTCCTTCTGCAGAGTAAAGGACGTACATGAAATAAAACGCTATGCAACTAAACGATCGTCTGAAAGAAAATGAGTCACTATGCCTGAGCGGGACATATAATGGACATTTTGTACTAGAGTTTATGGGTTCCCTACCACAATAAATATAGAAAATGACAAATTCAGTGATATAACGAACTCAAATCTTCAATTTTTGAGGTGATGTCACTGTTGAAATAAATGAGCGATTATGTTTGCGTGTGATCGGACAACTTTGTATAAGTGTTAATCATTCATATTCTTCTCTCTTAATAATAGTTCTCATATATTTATCGGCATTTACACAATATGTGGACTCTGAGATGGGATAGTAATTTTGGTTATAGGGAGTGAGAAAACTAGCTTTAATTAGGGGCTAAGTAAGGAGGGGAGGAGAAGCTCATTGCTAAATAGGGCCACTAAGATATAAGGACGAAAAAAAAAAAACTATTGTGATTAGAGAAGGTTTAATTTAGGGGCACCAGTTTTTGTTTTTTTTTTTTACGCAGAGGACGAGGAAAGAACCTATGTTTAAGAGGGGCACCAAGTTTTGTAGTGGGCTCTGGGCTTATTCAAGTTTGTATTGCGCAGATTAAGGTCTAGTTGTTTTTATTATTATTGGTCGCAGTGATGAAGGGTTGTGACCGTTAACGGGATGAATCTAATGCTGAATAATGATTATAGTATGAATAATAATTGTATACGTAGAAAAATGTTAATTAGCGAGCGTTATGCTATCTGTTTTTGTTTGCGTGTGGAATGTACTTGATTCGAGGCCAAACTTTTTTTCAAGTGTGTGTTGTGTGAGAGAATGGTACCTAGAGTTGGGAGTAACAAACGTGTTGGTGTGGGTGAAATGCTGCCGGAGGTTGGGGACTAGCAAAAAAGAATAGTTATTAAGATTTCTCCTACAGATATCATGCTCGGTGTGGGAATGGTAATGGTGACGAGGTGATCGGTAATGGTAATGAGGATGATGGTGGCGGCGGTGGCGAGTCGCAGCAATGTTCAAGCGTGTCCATTGAGAAAAAATATAATATATTAGAAAGTTTTACTAATTCTATCTCAGCCAGTGTCTATTAATTTGCATCATTCAAGAAATTAAGCTTAACGAACGTTTTAATTACATCTCCTTTGGGCAGTGGAATACAGCCTTGCAAATCATAAACTGCTACAGAGCATTTTGAGGATACTTTACACAGCTTCGCAGATCTTGGACAATTTATTTTTCAATTTTCTGGGCTGATCATAACGTCTGTTCAGATTATCTCTTTCAGTTTTACTTGCATTTTTCAAAAGGTTGCGCAGGGTCACATCTGATCTTGTTCGGGGTTGAAAAAAGAAATATGTAATCTTCAAGTGAACACCTCGTAGAACATAGAGTAGTTCCCAAACGGTGCAATTCGCTTTGCAGTTGAACCTAATATCTATGGATAACAGCAAACAGTCTTGCTTCCGTCAAGAAAACTCTTGATGTATTAGCCCTGAGGTACTGACTTCAATTTTTGGAATGGAATCAATCTGAGCCCTCATTCCGTCACTTTGATGCTTTCATCACAGTGTGGTGATTACTGGGTTTACCTCTGAGATCATTTTCATAGCAAGTTTTCACAAACTGTGTTCTCTTTTCAGGACTGCTGCGGTAGGGCGGTCATTAATATCTAATGGTTATGAAAAAAACAATTTGCACAACTAACTCTTCCCTCATCAGTTTGAAATAAAAAGCTGTTTGGTTTTCTTTGTTGTCTTGTACCTCCTATACGAACATATCTGCACCTAGGTTAC